GGAGGCTTCCCCGGTTTTGGGAGTGTTATTACATGTGCAAGGAGCATTTCAGATGTCTTTGATGTGGTTAAACATCTTGGTAAGGTGCGGTGTTAATTGTGTTTAGCGACGTGTAAAGGGAATTCGGGAAACCGTCTGGGCCCGGTGCCTTACGTTTGGGCAATAGGCTAATGGTCTTATGCACTTCTTCCTCTGTGAATGGTGTTTTGAAGGAATGTTTTTTTTGAGCGTCTGTGAGGAGGGGTAGGTCTACACTGCTTAGAAAGTCTAGGATTTCGTCCTTGGATGGCTGGTGTGTTTGTTCTATGTAGATTATATAGCGTGTCATAATAAGAGGCTAGTTCCTCTACGATATCTTGGGGGTTGTATAGCTTATGTTTGGAAGCTGAGATCATGTATGGTAGTTTAGACTGCAGGTGACGTGTTTTCAGGCGACGTGCCAGTGATTTGCCTGCTTTATTACCCTGCATGTAATGAATTAAGTTGAGTTTGCGCATTTGCCTTTCCATAGCGGTTAGGGCCAATGCGTGTAGTTCAGAGTTTATTTTGTTAATTTGTTTAATCAGTTTGTTGGATGGGCTAAGTTGGTTTTTACCCTCAGTCCTTGCAAGTTCCTCTAGTAGGCGTTGTTTGCTCTGATTGCCTTTCCTTTTTACGGTTTGCTCCTGCTTGTATAAAAAGGCCTCTAAGCACCGCTTTGAGGGCTAGCCATTGTGTAGGGATAGAGGTCTCGTCATTTGCATGGTCTTGGTAGAACATTGTAATCGTATTAGCTAGTTTTATAAGTAGGTCAGCCTCGTTTAGTAGGGAGTCATTTAGTCTCCACAAGCTCCTACCTCTCGCAGGGTAGAGTTTTGAAAGTGGTGGTGACCGGGGCATGGTCTGACCATGTCCTATTCCCAATCTCTACATCCGCTACATTTTGTAGTGTTATAGCGTCTACCAAGCACAAATCAATGCGCGAGTACGTATGATGCACTGGTGAGAAATAAGTATAGTCCCTCCCGCTAGGATATAGGCTACGCCATGTATCGTAGAGGTGTGTGTGTGTGTGTGTGTGTGGAGGAGTGTGGCAAGTTTACGGCTCAGTGACGTGGCTTGGTGTAGGGGTCTTTTTCCCTGGGCCCTCTGTATGTCCATGTTGGGATCCAGTGTGCAAATGAAGTCCCCACAGATAACAGTGTGCCCTTGCCTGAGAGTTGCCACTTTGGCAAGTGCGGATTTTAAGAAGGAGGCCTGGGCTTCGTTTGGGGCATACAACGAGGCGACTGTGATTGTGATGCCATTTAGCGTGCCCACCAGTATCAATAACCTTCCCAGTTTGTCCTGATATATCCCTGTCTGTTGAAAGAACAGTGAAAACAATATAGAGACGCCTTTGGATTTGTGTGGTGAGAGCGCATGGAAAGTTTGGGGGTAACAAGTTGGTTTAAAAGTCGGAGGGTGGTGTGTGCATAGGTGAGTTTCCTGTAAGCAGACTATTGCTGCTTTAGAATTGTGTATCTCTCTAATAGCCGAATGTCTCTTGAATGGGCTGTTCAGGCCATTAATGTTTAGGGAGAGACACTTAAACTGGTGTGACATTCTTTCGGGGCTAGGAGATCTGTATGTGGCCGCGTAATCTTTAGAGTAAGAGCTGCTATTACACCTGCTCCAATAATATATCCAACGTGGGTGGGATCAGTGTGGCGACCCCTATCATCGTGTACCTGGGATCTATTCGGTGGCAAGTTACCTTGATCATGGGATGAGTAGAAACTTGGGGGGGTGGAGGGTGAGAGAAAACATAAGGCATAAACATAATCATAAACAGTGTAAATAAAGTATATACAAGGTCCTCTCCATTGAGAGTAAACTCGTGGACGTGCTGGGCGGCTATCCAGCGCACTCCCAGAAAACATCCTAGTTGGGGGGATCGTGTGGAGCTGACTCGCTTTTTTTTTTTTTTTCGGGTAACGTCTCCATACATCAGTGAAGGAGTGGGGATATGGGTAGGCCTTAGCTTGGGGATAGTGGTCTATATTATAACCTCTTCATGTCAGAGAGGAATGTTGCATAGAGTGACCTAGTGTTGACTGCTAGACATGTGGGGGGTTAGTGACGGGCCCTTATAGTTAGGCAAAATTCGGCAGTTCCGTTTTTTTTACCCTCTCGGCTCTGTTCCCCCAACGTATTCCTCATACATTTTTGGGCCGAAAAGCTACCTCTAGAGGGTAGCGAATATTCGGTCTGGCTTGCGAGGGGTTACTGCCCGCTCGTGTGGCGATCATGTGGAGGGAATGGGTGCACGCACCTTCTGGTCATTTTAGGGAGGTGGGGAGCGGAGGGGACTGGGGTCCGGCCCCCAAGTGACCCTGCCTCCTTCTGCACAGTAGTGCACCTGAGTATGGTAATGTGCCTAAGTAAAAGAGCGAATGGGAACACAACGTGTACAGAACATGTACAATACAGTTTGTTGGTTAAATAATACCAGTCCTGCAGGACGCCAGTCATTCGTGGTCTTGGAAAGTCAGTAAACGAAAAATTCGGGTTTCAACATAGTGGTGTGAGTCCCTTGAAGGTAATCTTTATGAGCTGGTGCCTTGCGTCGGCTTAGCGTCCTGGTGTCCCACCATTTTCCATTCTGGTCCGATATGCTGAGGGGAGGTCCCTGGAGGTTTGGCTGTGCCTTGGGGGTCCCAGAGGCCCCAGTCCTTCAGGATGGTGAGGCCGTGATCCGGGTCAGCTATCACGTACAGTTTGCCATTGCGCCATACCAATAACTTCGTAGGGAATCCCCACCTGTAATTCAACTTGTGATTGCGCAGCGTTTTCGTAATTGTAGAGAAGTCTCTGCGTCGGGCCATCATTAAGGCCGATAGATCAGCGTACAATGCTATACCTTCATATGGTGCTGGTAAGCTGTTCGTTGCCCTCGCCGCCTGGAGGGGAGTATCTTTAGATTTAAAATAATGAAAGCGGGCAATAACATCGCGTGGAACGTCTTGAGCGAGACGTGGTGGTTTCGGAAGTCGGTGCACTCGATCGATCTTCCATGCATTACCACTCACTGTAGGGGCCAGCTCTGCGCACATGGTAGTGATGTAACTGTAGAGTTTGTCAGGCAGGATAGATTCCGCTATTCCTCGGAACCTCACATTGTTCCTTCTCGACCTGTCCTCCATGTCTGCCATTTTCTGCCACAGCTTCGCATTATCAGCTTCTAGTGCTTGGAGCTTGTCAGCCGCCGCGTTATGAGCTGAGCACAGTTCCTCCGTTTTTTGCTCTAAGTGGTCGGTGCGGTCTCCCAGCTCCGCTATTTCCTGGTGTATACCAGAGATTATTGTAGTAAAATCTCCTCTTACCGTTGATCTTAAGTCTTGGAGCATGGTCTTGATATATAATTTTGTGATATTCCCCTCTAGGTCGGGGTCTGAGACCTGGTCGGAGTCTGTCATTCCTTCTGAGGCCTGGGCGGGAAACTCCGTTCCAGCGCCATCTTGGGGCAGTTTGTGACAGTCCTTCTTCGTTTGTCTGGACGGGTCAGTAAGCTTTGTTTGTTTCGAAGGAGACATCTCCGTGGTAGGTATAGTCCCCTGTGCTTGCCTGCCGAGTAGAAATTTTGTTTTTATTTATATTTGGTGCGGTTTAGGGTGCTTTATGGCTCGGTATGGAGCAGAGCTCTTACTCCATGCGTCCGTTCAGGCCGGAAGTCGGACACGCCCCCCTCCTTGATGTGGTATTAATGTGCTTTGATGAGCACATCGCGGGGTGTTGAGTCTGGTAGATGCCTTGGCTTCGGGACTCAGTGCATTCTGTCTACCAGAAGCATGTCCGCCGGGATGTCCGGTACGTAGGCGTGCAGTAGGCTTTTCACAAAGACTGGCAGATCATCAGGAAGTATGGACTCCAACACCGTGCAGCCTCAAGTTGTCTGTCCTCGTAGTCCGCCATGCGGGTTTCCATGTTCTCCACTTGTTGTTGCAGGGCTTGTAGATGGTTTGTTTCAGCGTGCGCGGACTCTTTCCTGATCTGACCCTTACTACTTTCCTGATCTGATCCGCCGTTGACTTCCATGTTTTGTATTAATTTCACTGACATATTTTCGATGGTTTGTTCGAAATATGCTTTGGTAAGTCCCTCCGCTTTTGTCTGGCTCATCATGTGGAGCTGGGTTAGGATCTTGTTCTATGTTTTCAGCGCCATCCTGTAGAGCGGCCTGTGTAGCCTCTGAGGTTGCTGCTGCTTTGTTGTTTAAAAAGCTTATTTTGTCCGCTTTTGTTGTAGACCTCTTATTTTTATGTTGTGCCATGATGATTTTTGCTGCTGGCGGCTGTCGTCCGTTGTTTCTGCGTGTGAATTGTTAAGATTAATGGAGCCCTTGTGCCGGAGCAGATTCTTATGCGGCCATCTTGCTCGGCGGTCAGCCACGCCCCCGGCAAGGTTTATTTTATTTTATTTATTTTCAATTTTTTTTATTTATTTTTTTTTTTTTTTATGGGTTACATGTGCTTTAAAAAAAAAAACCCTTGGGAGTTAAAATATTATGTTATGTTATAAATTTTATTGTGGTGATTTAGACAGGTTGGTTGGTAGTTAATGGAAAAGTATAGTTCAGTGTTAAGGTAGAGGGAAGGAAAAGTAAGTAAAAGCCCCCTTTTCTCAAAAATGAACCCTCTCCCTGACTTGCAATTACTGATTGCAGTTAAATTATTTGGTTATATGGGTAAAAATATCCTATTTGCAGAAACTGCGTCTTTATATGAAAAAACACTGTGGTTTATGCACTTTAATATCACCGCTAAGAGCCTGAGGAAAGGTCTTCCATAGTATGATAACCTAATTAAAATTCCCCCTCTCTTTTAAAATTTTGTTTGTGCACAAAGAATGACAAACAGCCTTGATTCGCCACAACAGCTGTGTCAAGGTATCAGTATGCAGTACATGTTGCAGTATTTGCTAGTCAGGCACTTTTTTTTTTTTTTTTTTTTTTGGAGCTAACCTTCAACCGGTGATACATAGAAGACTGCTTATATCCTGCGTCCTGTCGGGTAGGTGCTGGATTATTTGGGCTTAATGGCTTGGTGGGTATATTCAAGCAGAAGGGACATTAGCTAGTTGAGTAGATGCCAGCCTTCTGGTTATGTTAAAGGAATACAGACAATATGCTATACCCAGGGGCCCATCTCAGTGCCATGCTAGGGCCACATACTATTCCACATAGAGTAGTGAGAGATATACAGTCCTGTACAGTGGCCTCAGGTCAGAGCTATTAAAGCGCAATTTCGGTTACGCGTCAGAGTTCAGTAGATGCTAAAACAGTTTCTTTACTGGATGAGTAACTATCGCTCAGTGTAGCATTGACGGCATAATTAAACAATATAGATAAGAGAGAAACAATGCTTAAACTATGCAAGTGATTTCAACTGTGTCATCTAATACATATATTCTTTGCTAGTCAAGTAGGTAGGCTAGTGCAGCTTTTCATTCACAATGAGTTTAGGCCCTCAAACATCCCTTCGCAGGCAGCCTGTCAAGTGTAAGCAAGCATATAAAAACGATGAACTATGCCTGCTGAAAGAGTCTCTGTTGTTCTAAATTGACATACTGGGTAAGCACAAAGTCCCACATGCTGGATCTTCAGTATCAAGTGCCCCTGTTTTCCACTGGCTGTAAAGTGCTGTACGATGGTCAGAGGAACGGGTCAGGAAGCAAGTATGTTCGTGGTGGTGGGTATTGCTTATGACTGGCAGAGGTGTATCAGTCCTGAACTTGGGTTGAGGTGTTCACCCTACCCCAGTAATCGTGAACAGGTGAGTGTATACCTGAGGGGGGCTGGGTCGGCGTGCTTTGTGGCGGCCCTCCCACCCCAGGCCATGTGAGGGGCCAGATTTAAATGGACACAGACGCTGACTCTTGTCTGAGTCCAGGTCTTTCCCGTGTGCTTGCGCCTCTTGTGGCGGGGGGCTTTCCGTCGTGGTGGCCGGAGCGTGGGGTGTTCCCCCCCCCCCTGTTGGCCCTCGGCCCACCTGGTGGTGGTCTTGGGTCGTGGGTTTTGAGTGCCCGGAGGGCGTACCTGTGCCAGCTGCTCCCCTTGTTGGCTCCCCCAGGTGGTGGTCTTGGGTCGTGGGTTTTGAGTGCCCAGAGGGCGTACCTGTGCCAGCCGCTCCTTCACCCCCCCCCTTGTTGGCTCCCCCAGGTGGTGGTCTTGGGTCGTGGGTTTTGAGTGCCCGGAGGGCGTACCTGTGCCAGCCGCTCCTCCCCCCCACCCCCCTTGTTGGCTCCCCCAGCTCTGCGTACATGTGGGTTCAGTTCCGGCTTCAAGCTTTGCCCAGAAGCGGAGGAAGAGCTCGTCGAGCCTTTGTTCTAGGCTTACATGTAGGATTAAGATGTTTGGTTGTTCAGGCAAGTGCAGTCCTGCGTGTCCGTCCGCCATTTTGTGGGAGCGCATGTCTGTCCCGGACCACGCCGTCATCGCCACTCACTGGAGTCGAGGATAGGTGAGGCAGCCAGTGGGGACCAGGATAACCCCCGCCAGTCCAGAGGGGGGAGATGTCTGTACCCGTGGCAGCGGCCGTCCGCCGCGTCCTCCGCTCAACTAGGCCGCAATCCGCGGGAGGTCGACCCGAGCTTCAGCTTGTCTGTCGTGGGGTCAGGCAGCCCTCTCTCCAGAGTGCCTTTCCCCTGTTTGCAGTCTGCTTGATTAGCGTTTTTTTTTTATCAGTTTTTAGGCTTCAGGAATCAGGAGCTCAGGGAACCTGCGATTGATCAGTTTGGCGGCTTGACCCTGCCCCTAAATTTCCCATTATTAAATTCAAAGTTTGGAGGAAAAAACTCTGAAATGGCTGGGTGTCAAATTTGCCACTTCACCATCCACATATATCTGCAAAGGTACATATGTGATATTGCTGTACTCATAACACATAGTCAAGCAACAAATAAAAGGGACTGTCTTTTTTTTTTTTTTTTTTTTTTGGATGTATGTGATCTTCCCAGGTAAAGATAAAATACTACACTTGCAAATTGCTAGATTGTAACAAAACAACAAAAAAAAACTAAACACATTACTAATAAAAGTTCTATTTGGACCTGTTACATTCATCCAAGTGACATCACATTATTTCATATCCATATTGTTTTACAGATGCCCAGGGTACCAAAGGTTCCCAATGAAGAGATTTGTTAGAATCATTGTAAAAAGAAAATTAGAAATGGTGACTGTACCATCAGCCAAGGTATAGGAAGATCTAAGTAAAAATTACCAGATTTTACTAATAACATGACGTAAAGTCATGATTTTATAAAGGACACGGAGGCTCATATTAGGCTTATCTCTTTCTTTTATTTCCTCAGCAGCAACGAAAGCTAAGGTGTTTGTTTATAGAAAAAAGAAACCTGCATAACTACCCTCACAGGGTTAACCTTACATCATTATCCTTCAACCAATAGGAACAGTCCTTCTCTAACATCCTTTCATTTATCCTCCTCCTCTTCCTCTTTCTTGATGTTGCTGAAGCTACAATGTCCTCAACAGCGACTAACTACAAACTCATCGTAAAAACAAACAGAACAAAATCTTCCGGAACAAATCCTCTTGAACTGCGCGATCCAGCATCCTCAACGATGGGTATTTGTAGGAAAAATTCAGGCTGAAAAGGACAAAGAAAAACAATGGTAAAACTTGTCCTTGCCAACTATTTTCGTCTTATCACCTTCTAAAAATTGAGCTAGTCATGTAATCCTGTACATATACACCTGCAATCGTCACTCGCTTGCTATATTAACCAAAACCAACTGTGTCAATGAGAACTCCCACCAATACAGTACCTATTACGTACCTGGGCCGGGATACAAATTTTCATTCGCCTCTGATCAGGGTGGGCTAATACTCGCCTCCGTGTCCTTTATAAAATCATGACTTTACGTCATGTTATTAGTAAAATCTGGTAATTTTATTAAAGGACACGGAGGCTCATACTAGGCTAGTTCAAAGCTGAGAGATAACTACTCCAGACACGTGGTCCGTAGGTCGAAAATAATATTCCTTAAATGTCGACTCACGAGACCAATCTGCTGTTCTCAAGAGATCCTCTAATCTACAGCCCGAACTGAAAGCCTTTGACGCCATAGCGCCTCTGGTAGAGTGTGCTCCATACACAGTAGTATCTACGTGCGCCAAAGCCATTATCCATTTCACCCAACGGGCGAGAGTACGGGTTGATGAGGTCGTTTGGTAGCCAAAAACAATTCTGGATGCAAGGTTCGTTTCTCGTATTCCAGTAGACCGTTTACTGGACAAAGTCTGATGTTATGCGGGAACGAAGGGTATGAAACTAAAGTAATTGACGACTTAGTACGCCTGGAGATGTTGAAGGCAACTCCCGTGGGGGTAAAGGAGTGTGCCTCAAAATCCAATGCTCTAACATCAGACACACTCTTGCAGGAGATCAGGCAAAAAAGCATGGTCAATTTCGTTGACCGTTGTTTAAGCGTGAGTGCTTCATTGTGTGGCCAAGATTCCAACAGTTGTAGGACCGAACTGACGTCCCATAATGCTGTGAATCTGGGTTGCGGAGGACGAGCAAACCAAATTCCCCGTAGGAACGACATACTGACAGTTGTTGACCCATCGGGGTTCCATCTATTCCTCTATGTCCTGCTAAAATCGCCGATCTGTAAACATTGATGGTTCGATAGGCTAAACCTACAGGTACACAGGTTGGTAAGGAAACGTAACAAGGGAGCTATAGGAGCACGTACGGGATCCACTCGTTGTTCCAGGCACCAACTACTCCATCCATTCCAGGCATAGAGGTAGGACCGTCTAGTTCCAGGCACCCAAGCTCCTGCCAGTAACTCAATAGTTTCTTGTGGAACATCTGGCACGACCCAGGGTCCCCTGAAAGGAGCCACGCTAAGAGTTTGAGCTGCTCCTGCATCTGCATTGGGCCCCAGAGCGTCTGAAGTCGTAAGAACACATTGCGGTCCAGTCGCTGGCGTCGTGCAGATGTCTTGAATGCCAATCTGCTATGACGTTGGACAAACCTGGGATGTATTCCGCTTGTATTGAAATATTGCAATCTAGGCAGTATTGCCAGAACTCCTTGGCCAGGTCTGTCAAAATCTCTGATTTCGTGCCACTTAGGTAGTTGATGTAGCGGACTGCTGAAATATTGTCCATTCGCAGGACAATGGAGCAATTGGTTGCGCCCCCGCGAAGGCTCTTCAGGGTGAAGATCCCGTCATTAACTCCAAGCCGTTGATGTGTAGGCGTTTTTTTTCTGCACACGATCATTTTCTTCCGGTGGAGATAGGCCCACAAAGCGCTCCCCAACCGTGTGTGCTCGCATCGGACTCGAGGATGAAATCCGGGGCAGTCCCAAAGATTGCCCTGCCGTTCCATGCCTCCATATGTTGCAGCCACCATGTGAGTTCTTGCTTGGCTGCGTAGTCGAGTGGCACGGAGTCGGAGTACGAGTGCCCTGAGCGCAGCTGTGTGGCTTTTAGTCGTAAGGCCCTGTAATGTAGCGGTCCTGGGAAAATTGCCTGGATGGAGGCAGAGAGGAGTCCCATAATTCTGGCCAGTTGTCGTAGCGTCAACACTGGTCTTGTGAGCATCCTGCGGATCTCCACGTCGCTTTTTTCCATTGGAATTGGAGCAGATGGTGGCACTCCTCCGCCATAGGGACCATCCAGTCCCCTAGTCTGAGCAGGTCTCGCAGGCAATGGATTCCCTCCATTTTGAAATGGTGGTACCGTACAACTGCGTTTAGTGGTCGTAAGTTGATGACTGGGCGTACGCCGCCGCCCTTCTTGGGTACCAGAAATAGGTTGCTCATGAACCCGGGGGAGGGTAACAGGACCTGATATATGGCGCCTTTTCCTTGTAGGGTGGCAATCTCCTTGTCCACTAAGCCCTTGTCTCGTGTCGAGAATGCTATTCCGTGTGGCCTGCTTGCCTGGACAGGGGGGTTGTACAAACTCTATGTGATACCCCGTGACCGTATGGAGGACCCATGGGTCCGCTGTCAGAAGATGCCAATTTCCTATAAAGTATAACAGTCTGCCCCCCACAGTCGGTATCCCCGGGGAGAGGAAAGGGTAGTACACTCTCCATCAGGGTGTCGGCCGTATGAGTTGCCTCCTGGTCCTCGCGGCTGCCATGGTCTGGCTCTGACCGGAAAGAAATGTGAGGGCGCTCTATTCTCTGGCAGCTGAGTTCTAGCCGTGGTGGGACCTCTGTATCCCCGGTAGGAACTGCGGGAGGAGTGGCCGGGCAGACGGCCCCGGTATCTGCCGGCCCCACCAAAAACTCTGGGGGAGAACACTCGTTTTAAATTCGTCTGTGCCTTGCCTAGGGCCGTAAATGTGCTCACGTAAGTGCCTAATTCCTTAACAAAACTGTCTCCGAATAGGAGACCCTTGGCTTGCGGTCCCGGTTCGGAGAGGACCATGTTAACGAGTTTGAGCTCGATTTTCATCAGTATAGTCTTGCGCCTTTCGATGGCCTGCGCAGCATTTGCGTTGCCGATGAGGCATATGGATCTCTGGGCCCAGACCCTAATGGCTAATAAGTCAAGAGGTGTCCCTTCATTTAATGCCGCCTTGACCAGTTCAAAAACTTTGGCACTAGGGCCTAATGTATCCAGCACCTTATCTTGGCACTGCGGTAGGGAGAAATCAAGACCCTCTTTGGCTTTCCAGCCCGATTTACCCAGGAATTGGGCTATTTTGGGATCTATGTCTGGCGTGACGCAGGCCATGTCGGGCACTGTTGGGCGTAGGCACTCCGCACGCAGTTTTTGTCTGGTGGCTTTATCTATGGGTTTGTGGATTCTGGCCGCTATGTACCGTGCCACATGGTCGGTCAGGTAGCACTCAGCCGACCTAGGGTTCTGCAGTGTATCAGGGTCGAACAGAGGTTCACCCTGAGGGTCCAGTATAGCGGAAGTATCCGCAGTATCATGCAAAAGGTTAGGCGGGTTGCGTGATGGGCTACGGTTAGGGGAGGAAACCTCCCATTCATTTGAGTCGACGTAGTCGGACTCGCTCAACACCTCCTCAGTATCCGAAGCAGAGTTGGAAGCGTCAGTTAGGGCTTTTGCCCACTTCCATGTCCTCGCCGCTTTTGCACGGCGGGTGGCCCTGCCAAGGGGTCCCTTAGGGTTGGCTGCCTTAATAGCGTTTGAAATAGAGTGGGATATGTTGTCAGACATAACCCCCCAGTGCGGTATAGATAGTTTGGGTGACTGATTTGGACATGGTGGCGTCCAGGAGCGAGTGGAACTCCTGAGTCCAAATGCTCCATGGGGGTCACCACGTCCCCTTGCAGGGTGGAGGGTTCAGACACCATGAGTCTGCTGGCATCCCCCTTATCACTGGAGCCAGGGGAAGAGTACTCAGCAGGGGTCTGCATCTTGGGCCAAGTAAGTGAGTGAGGCACACTAGTAATAGGGTAACTACAGCTAATTGCAGTCAATTCTGCAGGAGCAGAGTAAGGGCAGCTAATGACAAGGCAACAGAAAACAGTAACAAACAGCTTGCACTGTCAGCTTACCGAGTGTTCCCTCAGGAATGGCCTCTGGGGACACTGGCAGGCTGACAGGCAATCTAACCGTCCAATCAACTCACACCCTCCTAGTGGGCTGTGAGCTGAGGCGGAGAAAATGAGCGTCAAAAATGTTTCACTACCCCCATTTAACCAGTCTGCCGTGTGTGCGGCCTTTTTACTCACGCGGATGGGGAAACCCCTGAGAAGAAACCAGGCTCTTCACAGGGGGTTCCCCATGCTGTGCGACCGAGAAGGTAATAATCTGCCCGGCGGTACGCACGGAGCCGATACCCTGCAGGGGGGGGGGCACCCACAGGAATGTAGAAGAGGCTACTGACAGAGGGGAGACCCTCAGGGGTTACAAAGGAAAAAAACGCCCAAGGCATGCTGTGGAAAAAATTACCGGCAAAACACACAACTAATGCAGAAATCATACACAAAACATACACAAAATGGAGTGAGAGAAAAAACAGTGATACTTAGCTGAGGCAGCAGCAAAGGAAGAGGAGGAGGATGCATGAAAGGATGTTAGAGAAGGACTGTTCCTATTGGTTGAAGGATAGTGATGTAAGGTTAACCCTGTGAGGGTAGGTATGCATGTTTCTTTTTTCTATAAATAAACACCTTAGCTTTCGTTGCTGCTGAGGAAATAAAAGAAAGAGATGAGCCTCCGTGCCCTTTAATAAAATCTGAATTATGACACAACCTCCAAGGCTCTTTACACATTAGTTAAATTAAATCGATATGTGTGACAGAATCTTGGTTTGGAATGTGGGCAGACAAAACCGGACCCTGACCAGAAAGAATCAAATAAAACTGATGAGAACGCCTCCAACTCTAAGCACAACAGTAAGCTACATGGAAAAATAGAAACATTTGTTGTAGTTCTCTCACCTGACAAGTGGCAGCACATTTTTCTTGAACCAGGCCCTGGGGAGATAGGGCAGCTAAGCGGACAATGGCACATGAAGAAGTGTGGGGATAGATGCGTGGGAGTGGTTTAGGAAGAACGTGTGGGTGGGTTATGTTCTATATAAGTTAGTGGGGAGGGGCCAGCAAACAGCTTCTCTTGTCCCCCTGCTCCTGTTTGCCTGGGCCTGTAGTCTTCACAGCTTGAGGTGATGGATGTTGAGGCGATCCTGGCATCACTCAGGGCTGCGCTGGATGGTGAAAAAGGGGACATGGGGGCTAAGGTCGACGACCCTGGTGCTCGTAAACGCGATGCACCCGTGGCTCGACCTTTATAGGAACCAGGCTGCGGCACAGATCCTGGTGGAAGGGTTTGAGCTGGGTTTTTGGATCCCTTTCTCCGCGCGCCCTCCACGGCACTCCGTTCAGAACCTCAGGTCCGTGCGGGATTTCCCTCATGTAGTACGGGGAAAATTGGGAAAGGCGGTCGCCTTGGGCTGGATGGCCATCCCGTTTTCCTCCCCACCCATGCCTAATTTGAGGGTTTCTCCTTTGGGCATGGTGCCTAAGAAGGAACCCGGTTCACCATTTGTCGTACCCTCAAGGGGGTTCGGTGAATGCTGACATCTCGGCAGAGCTTTGCAGGGTATCCTACGCATCCTTTGATGCAGCGGTTCGCATGGTGAGGGCTGCTAGCCCGGGGGCATTGCTGGTTAAGGCGGATGTTGAATCTGCTTTCCGGCTGCTCCCGGTGTGCCATCATCTCCTGGGTTGTGCCTTTGAGGGACAGTTCTTTGTGGACATGTGCATCCCTATGGGTTGCTCGCTGTCCTGTTATTTTGAGTGGGTGGCGCTTCCCTCCTGCACTACCTGGATGATTTCCTGTGTGTGGGGCCAGCAGAGTTGCACGTCTGTGCCCTCCTGCTGCGAGTTCTCGGGGAGGTGTTTCAGTGGTGTTCCGTTGGCTCATAACAAGACAGTGGGTTAACCACAACCTAATTGACGACAGCAGGGAGTCCACGTTTGTGCCCCATCACCCGATACTCTAGCAACCGAACGGGTACCGAACAAAGGGCCACCTACAGCCTGGCGTGTGGCTCCAATTAGAATGTTGGTTTCTGCAGTTAACCGCAGGTTAAGTACCCCCTCCCGGCGGTCTTCATTCCTCTCCCGAACACCAGAGATTTCCAGCGACGGAGCGGGGATTCGTACAGACTGCTAGCCGGTTCTTGTTCCACAAGTTTGAGAGTGAAGTCCCGCTGCCTATTAGTCTACCTCAAAACATGGCCGCCATCACACGCTCAGAACCGAAAGACACGAACGGACTTTAGTTCGAGGAAATACCGCATACCATTCGCGGGTTCTGAGCGCTCTTCGGTTAATTGTTTCGCCTCAACTGGGGCTATGTAATGAATGGTGGAAGACACGAATTATGTATAAAACTGTTTGAGTTATGTATTTTTATTCTGTTTTCTATGTGGCAAAAACACATGGGGTTTTGGGCGCTTGGAGATAATGAATCCAACGGTTATTACAATACAATTATCTCCAAGCTGGGCGGTGACTATTTCAAACGATGCATTGCATTTCTATTGGTCTCCCACTTGTATTGTCCCTGTATCCCATCAGGTCCAGAGGGGGCTGTCCCTGGACCTGAGATTTTGTATAAATACGGTCCCCTGTGTGTCATTAAAGACAGTTCTTGTTTGACCTTCAAATCGCAGCCTCGACTCGTTTTGTGTGGAAAAGAGTATCCTAGCTGTACTATAGCTAGTGGGATTGTTCTACATTTACAGGATTCGTATGGAATAACTACCGACGTGGCTCTCCCCTTTCTCTGCCTTTGGGATTCACATCATCCAAGCGGTCCAGCTTCCAGCTAGCCTGGAGGTAACCGTAACCGTTACTAAACTGGTTCACGGATTGCAGGATAAAACTTACCAGGAAAGGTTAAAGGATCTTAACATGTATAGCTTGGGGGTGATAGAAACATTTAAATACATAAAGGGAATCAACACAGTAAAGGAGGAGACTTTATTTAAAAGAAGAAAAACTACCACAAAAAGAGGACATAGTCTTAAATTAGAGGGACAAAGGTTTAAAAATATCAGGAAGTATTACTTTACTGAGAGGGTAGTGGATGCATGGAATAGCCTTCCAGCTGAAGTGGTAGAGGTTAACACAGTAAAGGAGTTTAAGCATGCGTGAGATGGGCATAAGGCTATCCTAACTATAAGATAAGGCCAGGGACTAATGAAAGTAATGAAAACTTTCTATGTTTGTTTCGGGGCCGGGGAATGTCGGCTGCGCCTAGCAGTGTCCCGGGCCATGGGGCAGCATAAAATCCAGCTACACTGCCTGCAATCTCTGCTGGATAAATTAAATTTTGCCTGTCGGATATTGCCCATTGGGCGCATCTTTAACAGGCGCCTGGCGGCAGAGATGTCTTGGGTCGTTCGCCCGCAGCACTTTATCCGGCTTACGCGGCCCTTGCGTGCTGACTTGGCATTTTATTATTAATGACTTGGGTTAATATTTTTGTCCATAACAGTTATGTATTAGGCTGCATTGAAATTCCCCACTACATACATACATACATGTAACTTACAGTTATAAGGATAGCATGTGTAGTAAAGGCCACAACTATGAGGTCCTAAGATGTGGTGTGTAGCGGATGGCACCAGGCGACCCTACAAAAATACTGTATAAAGCTGCATCCGTGTATCTGCTGTATTTTCTGTGTATTAAAAAAAATTGTATTTCTCTGATTGTTCGGTAGTTTCATTCCCTTAGTTTATTCGAATGAAACTACCGAACAACCAGACCTCCCCTGTGTGAAGTGTGTCCTCAATTACCCGTTGCAACATTGTTGCGAACGGGTAATTGAACAGTAAGTAGCCGTCCTTTGTTCTCGGGGGTGGCCGCCATTCGACAAACGAACACGTGGCGGCGGCCATTTTAAAACTCCCGAACAGCGGTGTTTTGCCGTCGAGTGTCTGGAACTAAAATCGGACACTCGAGTAGGCGAACACCGCTGAGACCTCCACAGCCCTGGTCCGTTCGGTTCCAAACTACCGAACGGCCCCTCGTTCGGTAGATAGAGAATACCGAACGAGGGGATTCAGGCGAACCCTCCCTAGCCTCTATGGCTAGAGGCTTTCGTGTATTTTATTCCCTTATACCAGGACCGACCGCAAGGCCCATTCACATGGAACCGAATTCGGCTATCTCAGTTCGTGCGGTCGGTCATTTTATTCCCTCCATACTTTTCCCGAACCCCTGGTCTGATCTGGGTGATTTTTGGATATGTTGTTCACCCAGATCAGGGCTACCAGGGGATGTATGATTTAAAGAGGTACCCCTACTTTTAGGGGTACATCCAGAAATGGGGGGAATTGGTGTGCTGGATAAGGGGATTATGATGCTGGCTGAGGGGAGGGGGTGTGTGGGAGGTTACCAGACAGGATTGGGAGCATGCTTTATAAGGAGACTGTGATTAAAGGCTTGTCAGTTATGCTCCTGAAACTGTGTGTCGTCCAGTTATTGGGATTGCTGTTGGGATATTGCTGTATTTTACCTGCTGGAAACCCTGCCTTTGGATTTACTATTTACTTGTTCCTGAGTCTCACTTGGATTATAAGCGGAGATAACCTGGGTAATATTGCATCTCCGCTACATGGTGCATGGACTCATATCAATGAAGCCATCTGGTTTGCAAAAAAAATATATTGCACATGAGTTTTGAAGAGGAAAAAAGGGGTTCCCGTCAGGGGCAAAGTACATAAACACTCACAGCTTCTGTAAAGCAGAGCTTTTAATTCACTGTGACAAAATTACTAAACAATGACCAAAACGTAACACTGAACTGTGATGTACATAACAAATGTGAATATAGTCATTCTGGCAAATCAAAAAGAATGCTGTCAAGGAATTTATGCGTTCAAATTTCCATTAAGTTGTGTGAGACGTGCACAGTTGTTATTCGGCATGTGCTAAATTCTTAATTAAATGACACTCGGACACCAAATTTTCTGTTGGAGTATAAAGTCCACAGCTTTATTAATGAGAATATATATACAATTTAGGGTCATTGTCACAAGTAATAATTACTTCCGACCTTCATGCCCAATATCCCTGACAATGACCCTACCAAATAACAATAACGAACATTCCATTAATGCATAACATTTACACGTGGCCTACCAAAGAGAACCCATACCCATATGTTTAACTGTAGGTGTGTACCCAGACACCCCTACACCACCAGGTTCGCAGCCACCAACGAGCTTGAATCTACCAACCACTTTTCCACTCCGGCCTACTCCAGCCTAGACCTTGGCCTACCCCCCTTCCTATTCCACATAAATCCTCTTTAACCCACGCCCCTTGAGCTCATGTGCGACCCCCACCACACATAAACAGGGCCTGGGTAATACCATCCTGGAAACCCAGATTAAGCAAATCAGAGCCCACCTCCTCGCCATAGTTGCTGCTCCTGGGCTGAGCCGTTGGGGCGGTTGTGCCCTTCTCCTCTGCCTCTTCTCCATCACCGCGGGGGGGGTGAGGGGGGAGCAGACGTGCTCGGGACCCCCAATTGGTCCTGCAGCCATGACATCCCCTTCTCCTCCACCATTCTTCGGACACCAGCCAGGATCTCTTCAGCAGAAGCCATACCTGAAAGAGAGAGAGAACAAACCACACAGACCTGTAACAAGTAAGTGAGGTTTTGATTAAGATGGCCACTTCACTAAAATGGCTGTTATTTAAACCCCTATTCTCCTCCCCCCAAACCAAATATAAATTTTTCTACACCCCTTAACTTCACCTGCCCACTCTCTGGCCCTGTCAAGGCCCACTCCCCCCCCTGCATTGCTCAATGGGCTTCAAGAAACAGCTAAGTACATGGCGTATCTCTGAAGCTTTACGGCTTATGGATGTAGGAGACCCTGAACCAAGCCATTTACAAAGAAGCAAAACTTGACAAATTATTTGTCCATTATTGGTCAACATCACAAATGTATGTATACAAAACTCAGTAACAATATCATTCCAGTGTTGTTGCCTTTAATGCCATGGATTCTCTTGTCAAAAAAGTGAAACATCCACAAGGTTTGTCAGGCCCCTTTTTTTTAATGTATGAAGGCGTATTAATACCTGGAAGTTCAGTGGATGCTATGAGGGTCCCAGTAGTTCAAATGCTGTCCGAAAAGCCTGACATCAATGCAATTTCATTTTGGCTAACAGAATGGAAACATGCAGGTGCTCCTCTGCCAAAAATATTAATTGAGACAGTGAGCTAGACCTTTATCCTCTTCTACATACATTCCTTCTTTTGTTTTTAATCTAACTAATCCGTGTTTTACTTTTCTTTTCTCATTTATGTATCTAAAAAAATGCTTTGTCCCCTTTTTTACTGACTGTGCTATTTTCTCTTCTGTGTGTGATTTGGAAGCTCTTATGACTTGCTTAGCCTCTTTCTGCCTAATCTTATAGAGCATTCTGTCTTTCTCACTCTGGGTTTTTTTATAATTACTAAATGCTAACTTTTTGTTTTTTACTATTTTGGCCACATCTATGGAGTACCACAGTGTTTTCTTGAATTTTTTGCTTTTACTGACAAGTCTAATGCAATTTTCTGTTGCCTTCAGCAGAGCAACTTTTAAATAATCCCATTTCTCTTGGACTCCATTTTAAATTGCTCCAATTTGATAATGACTCATTTACACATATTCTAATTTTGGAAAAGTCTGGGGTTTTTTTCAAAGTCTAAAACTTTTGTTTTTTTGTGGTGTTACTCAGTCACTGTTCTTATATTAAACCATACTGACTGATGATCACTGGATCCTAAACTTTCACCTACAGTAATATCTGATATCTCCATTTGTTAACACTAAATCTAGTATGGCCTCTTTACGAGTTGGCTCCTCAATGACTTGTTTTAGAGACAATCCCAGTAGGGAGTTTAGAATATGTGTGCTCCTGGCACAAGTAGCTATTTTTGTTTTCCAATTTACATCAGGAAGATTAAAGTCACCCATGATGGTAACATCCCCCTTCATTGTCATTTTAGCTATTTCCTCAACTAGTAGATTATCTAACTCTTCAATTTGTCCTGGGGGCCTATAAATCACACCTACACAAGTTACTGTGTGATTACCAAATTCTAACGTAGCCCAAACGGACTCTATGTTTGCCTCACTAACTTTTATTAGGCTAGATTTTATGCTATCCTTCACATACAAGGCCACCCCTCCCCTTTCTTGCCTTCCCTATCTTTCCTATATAAAGAGTACCCTGGTATTGCTATGTCCCAGTCATTTTTCTCATTATACCATGTCTCAGTAACAGCGACTAAATCTACACTATCAGTTGCCATTATTGCCACAAGTTCATGGATCTTATTCCGTAAACTGCGAGCATTTGTAGACATGACTCTAAGCTTATCATTTTTTAACACACTTGCTACAGGCACCTTCTGTCCTTGTTTTGGGGGACAATTGGATTGATGTTTTATCACCCTTTCCCGCCCCCCCCCTCCTAGTTTAAATACATCCTAGCAAAACCTCTGAACTGCTCACTGAGAACATTTGTTTCCTTTTGAGAAAGATGCAAACCATCTTTTTTGTACAGGTTATTTCCAAATCCACCTCTTCAGGCAGAGAATTCCATATCCTTATTGCTCTTACTGTAAAAAAAACCTTTTCTTTGCCATAGATGAAATCTCCTTTCTTCCAACCTAAATATGTGACCTTGTGTCCTATGTATATTCCTGTTTATGAATAGATTTCCAGATAACAGTTTGTACTGGTCCCAAAGATATTTGTATAATGTTATCATATCCCCTCTCAGGTGCCGTTTTTTCCAAACTAAAGAGATTTACATTTTTAAAACTTTCTTTGTAACTAAGATGCTCCATTCCTTTTATCAATTTTGTAGCTCGTCTCTGCACTTTTTCTAGTGCCAATATATCCTTCTTTAGAACAGGTGCCCAAAATTGCACAGCATATTCAAGGTGTCTTACCAGCGATTTATAAAGAGGCAAGATTATATTTTCATCCTGAGAATTTATGCCCCTATTTATACATGACAAAACCTTACTGGCCTTAGCAACTGCAGATTGACATTGCATATTGCTGCCTAATTTGTTGTCTATAATCCTTCTCGTGTGTGGTTACCCCTAATTCACAACCATTTAGTATGTAAGTTGCTTGTGTATTCTTGACCCTTAAGTGCCTAACTTTGCATTTCTCTATATTAAATTTCATCTGCCATTTTAGTGCCCAGTCCCCAAATCTATCTAAATCACTCTGCAGCAAAGCAAGCGAGCCCCATCACCCCAAGGCAGCACGGCACCACGGTCAGGGCCTGGGAGTTCCAGTGGCGGCGGTGCCCCCTGGTGAAGATGGGGCCCTTGGAGGTGTTCTGCCTGGAGGATGGAAGGAGGGTCCCAGGTCTGGACGGTGCCGTATCCCTGGACGGAACAGCATCCCTCAAGCAAGTACTGGCCCTGGTGGGTTAGCAGCAGGCCCCTCCACGGTGGGGGATGGGAGAGAGCTGCTGGGGGTGGGAGCAGGCCTTCTAGGGCTTTACTCACTGTGCATTCCGGTTCCCCAGGGGTAAGGCAGGCTGTGGGCCCCTCTGGTTTGGGGGGTGTCATTCCCCAGGGACACCTGGCAGCCAGTGGCAAGAGGGGGAGCACGGAAGGCTTCTCGTAGAAGGGGGGTGCAGCCAGGAGAGAGCGCAGACTGGCAGCAGAGCCCCCTGGGGTCCTTGGGGGGTCTCCTAGTATGGCAGCATTCTCGGGTGCGGGAAGGGCTGCCCTGGTTCAGATGAGTGTCCACACCCAGCCCACGTCTCCGGCTTGCAATCCATGGAATGTTGGTGACAGTGCCGCCGGGCAGACGTGGCACCAGGTGCATGGGCATCTGCGGGGGTGGGTTGCCAGGGCTTCGGGTGGCACTGTGCAGGAGTCTAGGAAGCTGGTGGGCCACCCGGTTCGCACCTTGGATGTTGCAGCTGGCCAAAGTGGGCAGGTGGACCACAGTGGGTGCACTTCATGTGGCATGACGGACGTGTCCTGGGGCCGGTGACAGTCGCGCTCGGCTGGGCGTAGGTCTTGGAGTAGCAGGTCCCCTAGAACAGAGTGGTGGCAGGAAGGGAGTTCTTTGGCTGGTAGGGAAGATGGCTCGTCGGCTTCTCTGGAAGGTGCTCGATTACACCCTAGTTGGGTGCGCAGCATGGGCCTAGTCATGTGCATAGCTGTAGTCATAATCCCAGAGGGAGGGTTAACGGGGCTTCCAGGTCTCTGCTTGGCCTCCATGGCTGTGACTGCAGGCAGGATGCCAGGACTTTGGTCCGGCATTCCCTAGGAGGTACGGGGGGGGAGTGTGAGTACAGAATACAGTGCAATCTGCCCAGGAATTCTCCTTTTTGTTCCAGGTCCTCCAGCGAGTCCCCCAAGGAGGCGTCAGGCACCAGAGGGTTCCATCGGTTGGAGTGAAGAGTATAATTGTTTCTCCGTCCGTTTCCATGGGTCCTCAAGAAGCATTCAGCTCGTTTTTGGAATGGGTGGTGAAGTGGGAAGCCGGGAGTCGGGCGGTGGTACACTACCTGGACAACTTCCTGTGTGTGGTACTGGCGGATTCCCCAACTTGCTGCTACTTACTGAGGACAATTGAGTGGGTGGTTAGCACGTTTGGAGTGCTGCTGGCAGTGGAAAAAATGGAGGGCCTGACCACATGTTTAAGTTTCCTTGGGCTGGAAATTGACTCCCAGCAGGGGGAGTGCCGTCATGGAAAAACCCGTGGGGCTTTGGGAGGTGGTGGTGACGGTTCAGCGGTCACGTAAGGTCACATTGAAGGAGCCGCAATCTCTTATCAGAAAGCTCAGTTTCGCTGATGTGGTGTTCTGATGGGGCAGAAATTCAGTCAGAGCCTTTCCAGGGCTATGGCGAGGGTGTGACTGCTGCACCACTTTGTGCGGGTGTCCTCGAGCCTTTGAGGGCTGACCTGGGAGTATGGGACATGTTCCTGGAGCACTTCAATGGCACGGTGTTCTTTCGGCGGAAGGCGGTGTCGGCTGCTGAGCTGGAGCTGTATACGGTCACCTTGTCACTTTGGGGTGCACCCTTGAGCGATAAGATGGTGGTGTTCTATACGGATAATATGGCGGTGGTGCACACGGTTAATTACATATCGGCTGAGTTGGTGCCAGTAGTGTGCCTGTTGCAGAAGTTTGTTTTGCTCAGCATGTCCCTCAATGTGTACACATTCTGATTGCTTACCAGGGGCTCCTCCCCAGCGGTGGTTGATAGGCACATGGCTGTGCTGGCATTTTGGTTTAAACATTGTTCAATAGTAAACGCTACTTCAAGAATAGGGCAGGTAAGTCACCACGCATAGTTCATTGCATGGTTAGTGAAAGGTAATATCAATAAAGAAATAACCGTGTAATAAAATGGTTTATTGAATTCTGCATTAATGTACCCAGTGAGATGATAAAGGTATCCAGCCGTACCTTCCAGGAAAATGCACGCAGGTCTGATGGTTATTATTCCTATAACAATACCAATTTACATCGAATGCCTCTTACAGCTTCTAATGAAAGATCAAAACGCACGTCTCAGAGCCGGCGAGGAAGATGCACAAGACGTCTAGAAACATCCCTTCTTTCAAGTACATTTTAAGTAGAATATGCATTTTGTTTTTATTTAAAGTGGCTTTGTCACCAAAAATTTATTCATGAATAATAGTATTAATTACACTGCAATTCTAACACAGTCAAAAGATTATATAAAATATAGTAGGGACTACTTCGTCTTATGGTCAGCTTCGAGGCTGAAACAATTTGACAAACAGCAGAATTTGTGCTTTAAAGCCTTGTCGATTGCCACTTCCCAAGTGGGGATGTCACCAACATATGCAGAGACCCCGTTTAAAGTAGAATCGTCATTGAGGAGGGAAAGACACATCCTAATAGCTAAATAAACTTTATATGTTAGTTGTGTTTTTGAAAACTGTACAATGTCCTATGAGTTCCTGCATTTCCATCGATCCAGGAATCATTCATACTCAGAACCTGCAACACCAATAAGTGTGTTATTACTTTCTGTACCTTCATAACACGTCACCAGCACTTACTGGCCAGGACAGAGGGAATCTTACCAACTCACACATGGCACTGTCACTTTAACAGATTTCTTTCCCACCAGCACCCAAACCACCAGCTACCTCACCAGTAAGTGACCAGTCACAGATCTAATTCCCACAGATAACGTTAGCCTCACTATTCTTTAAAAAATATTCTTTCAGTATCCCAGGTAAGTAGTCAAACAATTCACAAACCGCTTGACTACTTGCACTAGTAGGGCGCAAGTGAACTCCTGGCACCATAACCGCTACAGTGGCATTTAGTAATTATGGTGCTCAGGCTGTTCCTTTAAGGTAGTTTGAGGATTGGTTTGGAGAACCCCTTTGCAATCTGTACATAGTGTAGGTTTTGGGTGATATTTTCTGTTCTCTTGTGTTTTATGTTTTACTGATTTATACAATGATACACATTCCTTTCCAGAACATAGACTGGGCGGCATTGTTATTAAAGAACGTGACACCTCCTATTGTACCAGCCATTAAGGGATCTGAAGACGCCAGCAATTTCCATACGGTATTTACCTCAAAAGAGCCTATTTTTGACTGTCCCAGAAAGTCAAAGAGAACCATCGTTGGAAGAGCAGGAGGCACTCAAGAACTTGGATTGGATGGCTGATTGGGGTGAATCTTAGATGTGTTCCATAATAAAATTATATTATTATTATTTTTATTATTTTATTTATAAAGCACCAACACATTCTACAGCACTGTACATGGGTACAATTATTAGAAGTAAAAAGACAGAGGAACAGCACATCCTAAAAACAAAACAAATACTGACAAACAAATGCAGGAGGAGTTGAGGGCTCTAATCCCGTGGAAACTTACAATCTAGATGGGAGGTGGGGACTGTGTGGGTGCGAATGATGTTAATACAGAGTGAGATGATGGCAATTATTGGGTAAGTGGAATGCGTTGGTTACTGAGTTGAATTGTAGGCTTCCCTGAAAAGAATGTCTTTAATAAGCGCTTAATGGAAGGTCGACTAGAGAAAAGTCAGATAGCGTGTTAGTGCGTATCAGAACGAGATACGTACAGTCTTGCATGGCAAGAGATGATCAAATAGATACAAGGAGCAGGTCATTTGGTGATCAGTGAGGACAGGTAGTGGGAAGCAGCAAGTTAAATGCTTTGTAGGTGAAAGTGAGAATTGTAAATTGAGTTATGCTGTGGATGGGGAGCCAGTGAAGGGACTCAGAGAAATGCAGCAGATAATACAGAGTGATCTTCCACTTAAAGCCAATATATCCAGGAAGTAATGCCAGATAAGCAGTCACTGGCACGAGAAAGGACAGAGACAGAGATCAGGGGTGTAGAGGTAGATCTGACAGTCCATAACGCGTAAATGGGATATTTAAATCCGTAGCTGTTAATAAATATGGTGCACAATATCCTTCAAAGTGTTTACTTATGAATCCAATCAAGATCTCATTCCTTAAAAAAAAATGAAAAAACAAACATATAGAGCAATGGCGTGAAATAACTGATCCCCTTACACTGTAAATGTGAGTGTACAGAGGTATCGTGTGTCTATGTCGAGTAAATCAACCTGAAGCTAATATCTTGAACAGTTGAATGAAAAATACATTCAGCACTTTCAGGTGATAATATATAAAATATCACAACAGAGATTGATAAAACAAGTAGAAAAGCACAAAATTCCAAAGATACAGGAACAAACTATATAGAAAAAGATACTGTCTCTAAATGTATAACACACAGTCCATAAATCAGCTGAAATATCTTTCAAAGAATCCATGTAATGATCCAACAAGCCACAAACTGGTATAGAAACATAGAATGTGACGGCAGATAAGAAGAACCATTTGGCCCATCTAGTCTAGTATAGAAAAATGTTGTCCCTGTTTTACAAAAGATAGAACCCATCCACAGTGATAAAAAGAAGATTTAAAACACTTCCAGGATCACAGAGGGAGAGGTCAGGAGACATACACACTCCTTACTTGTCCCTTGGCGCTTCAATCCACTGAAGTTACCAGTAAAGAGGTGTTCAAGGTTTGGTCTGCATTTCAACACTTTGATTTCCACTCCCGTACACCTCACTCAGTCCTGGGAGCGAGAACCACCTTCCATGTGTTGTGAAGAGACTGCTTCATTTCATTGGTGGTTAGTGACACCGTATACTGTGAAAACGTATATACTTATCTAGCATCAATATGATAGAATTAACCCGCCTAATACCCTAGTATGCATAAGAATGACGGTGTCCTATTGTAACATACTAACATCTCCGATATTCACTCAATAATTTACATCTCATATCCAACTTGCTGGTGAGAACTGTGATCCAAGAAAATTATGTTCTAGGAATAGAAAAAACTCCCCCCAGTTTTAAAAATCTGATGAATTATCTGGTTGCTAAACATATGTTGGTCGATAATGTGTTTTGCTTATGGAGACAGGATTCCTCCTATTAATTTGCAATAACTAACTATTCTTAGTGCTGCGGCCAGTGTTGCGTAAAGGACGTGACTCCACCAACCCAGAGCTCTGGTGTAACGTTCTCTGAGGATTTCAGGAGCGATGTAGTATGGTGTTCCACAATGGCTGTTGGTACGTTAAAAGATAATTATGTTTAAATCAAAGATAGGAAATGTTTCCTGCTTTCATAGTATAAAACAAATGAAGGGTGCTTTCAAATTATTAGCATGACTTATACATCAATCAATCTACCATAAAAGCCACCATGAGATTCTATGAATTAGGAAATCGTAATCATTAAATAGTTTATTTATGCAGGACTGTAGTTAGAACATAGAAATAATTATGATTGTATAGGAGTATACTTTCACTAAGGGGACTAAATCCTATAGATTTCACTAGAGTACTCTATACCAAATATAGCCAAAACTGCTTAATGTAACAGCCGCACCGTTATTCATTCACATAATTAAGACCCACATTATGGACTGTTGGCTGAACCAGCTCTCCTCTTATATAATGGTTGAGCAATGCTAAGTAAAAGAACCAAGCCAGAGGGTTGGGGTGCTACAGACATAACCTCGGGGGGGGGGGGGGTTCCCACCGCACGGCCTCTCCCAGGGGTGCTCCGGTTGGGGTCGCGGCTCTTTTCCCATATAAAAGCCCTGACCGGTACACTCTTAAGGTGCTAGGGGGTGGGGGGCTAGTTGCGCCCATGGCACATGTGCAAAAAATAAGCCTGTCGTAAGCTTCTTCCCCTGCAGGTACTGTTACGAGTGCGCCTGCAAAGGTAAGCATCGATGTCACCTCCATCACCTGGCATCCTTGTTTCAGCCCTTCCACTGCCTGCAAAGCCTGCTGCATGGTTATTGTTGTTTTAACCCCTCTCTGTCTGTGTCCACTCCTACTCCCTCCCTCCATCATCAGTTCAGATCATACTCACACTCTGAGATGGAGAGAACGGTCCAATCAAATGTTTCTCTATGTGAAGCATATAATAACACCACAAGAAGGCATAGGAGACGTCGACGTGGCATCCAGCGAGGGGAGCTTCCGGGGAAGTTATTTATTTTAAGGGGGGCACCTAATGAATAATGCCCAGTAGGACTGATTTGAAAGATCTTTTAATTAATAAACTTGTTTAAGCAGAGATGTCACCTCCTTGCCCTTGTTAGTAAAACGTTGTTTGTCACAATTTACCGTATTTTTCGCTCCATAAGACGCACCTCACCATAAGACGCACCTAGTTTTTAGAGGAGGAAACCCAGAAAAAAAAATATTCTGAACAAACTGTTCCATAGTGTTTCTTACCATGGGACAGTTTGTTCAGAATATTTTTTTTTCTCCTCTGTCCCATAATGATCTTTAACCCCCCTTTCCTCTGTCCCATAGTGATTGTTAACCCCTCCTACCCTGTGCCATAGTGATTGTTAACCCCTCCTACCCTGTCCCATAGTGATTGTTAACCCCTCCTACCCTGTCCCATAGTGTTCTTTAACCCCTCCTCCCCTTGTCCATTAGTGTTCTGATCCCATAGTGTCCCCCCTCCCATTGTCCCATAGTGCACTTTCCCTCCCATAGTGTGTCCCCCTGCCCTTGTCCCATAGTGTCTCCCCCTCCCCTTGTCCCATAGTGTCCCCTCTCCCCTTGTCCCATAGTGTCCCCCCTCCCCTTGTCCCATAGTGTCTCCCCTCCCTTTCTCCCATAGTGTCTCCCTCCCCTTGTCCCATAGTGTCTCCTCCCCTCCCCTTGTCCCATAGTGTCTCCTCCCCTCCCCTTGTCCCATAGTGTCTCCTCCCCTCCCCTTGTCCCATAGTGTCTCCTCCCCTCCCCTTGTCCCATAGTGTCTCCTCCCCTCCCCTTGTCCCATAGTGTCTCCTCCCCTCCCTTTCTCCCATAGTGTCCCCCTCCCCTTGTCCCATAGTGTGTCTCCTCCCCTCCCCTTGTCCCATAGTGTCTCCCCCTCCCCTTGTCCCATAATTACTTACCTGTCTTGGAGCGTGGGCCGGCTTCACAGCTCGCTCCGCGGTCCAGGCACTTCTATTTCAGGTTCCGGTTTCCGGCGGGACTGAAAGGAAGTGTGCACACTCAGTGTGCACACTTCCTTTCAGTCCCGCCGGAAACCGGAACCTGAAATAGAAGTTCCTGGCCGCGGAGCGCGCTGTGAAGCCGGCCCACGCTCCAAGACAGGTAAGTAATTCTTCACATTCGCTCCATAAGACGCACAGACATTTCCCCTCACTTTTGAGGGGAAAAAAAGTGCGTCTTATGGAGCGAAAAATACGGTACTTGTATCTCTCATCCATCTCCTGTATCCAGTACAGCGCTGCTGAATATGTTGGCACTATAAATAATAAACTAACATAATGAATGTTGGTTCTAGGCTGTAGACACATGTAGCAAAGCTCCCTGTACCCCAGCTGGGTACCTCCGCCAAGGACCACTTCCTAGCTGTAACCGGGAAAAATCTCAGCGCTTCTGCCCTAGTTGCCGTGACTTGACTGGGGTTCCTTCTGAAGCCTCTCCGTCCTGGGACTGGACAACACACAGTTCTGGTAGCTATAGTCCTTACAAGGACTTTCCCCACCGAATCCTCCACGAGCTGGAACAAGGTGCTGAGCAGTGATTAAAGCCCTTTCCCCTTTTTTTGAACTCTTTACAAAGTATCAATATCACTCTGGAGATACGGTCTTCAGTACGGCATACAATACCTCTGAACGGGGTCTCCGACCTGGACCACAGTCGATGGGTAGGAGGCCAGCTATCACACTGCTCCAGGAGTTTGTGGCAAACGTTCGTGGGAAGGAGCGTTTGTAATATATCTTTCTCCTCCCGGGGAGACTAACCAGACCTCGAATTGACCTTGGTGTGTGGCCTTGGTGATCTTTCCCAAAAGGTTCAGTTACCCAAATCCTGCCACAAGCTCCAGTTTGCATATCCAGGGAAGGGATGGGAAGGGAGACTGCTATAATCCACTCCTGATGAACCAAGTTGTCTGGACGCAATTCTCCTCTCTCGGTGATACACAGGGACGATGTCTGCTCTCCCAGGACCACACTCTGCCGCTGGGGAATTAGACTGACTGTCTCCACTCCCAATAATGCACACTGCTGCTGGGGAGTGAGGCTGGTTGTCTCCCCTCCCTGGAATATACTCTGCTGCAGGGGAGTGGGACCCGTTGTTCTGCTGTTGAGGATGGAAAATGATACTCTCCTCTCCCTGGAATGCACACTATTGCTGGGTAGTGAGACCAGCCGTCTCTTGAACTCACATTGCCGTTGGGGATAGAGGACAATACTGGAATAGTGGAATGCACACTGCCACTGGGGAGGGAGGATGATATGCTCCTCTCTCTGGAAGGCACACTGCTGCTGGGGAGTGAGACCGGCTGTCTCCACTCCCAATAACTCTGACTGCTTTTGAGGAGGGGACAGACTGTCTACACTCCCAGCAACTCCTGCTGCCACTGGGGATGTAGCGGGGTTGACAGGGTACACCAGGGGTGAAGATCTGGGCCTGCTGCCCAGCATCCCTGTGAATTGGGTGTGGGGAAACTGTTCTCTTCACATCTACTTGGACTTTATATCCTCAGATGTAAAGTCTTTTAAATCCCCAGTATCTGTGACCTGCTGCTGTACAGAGTCAAATAATTGCTTGTACTCCAGTTCAAGCTCCCACTCCATGGTGGCCAGGTTGGTCAAATCATGCTCCAGGACCATTGTTTCTGAGAGATCCAGTAGGTGTCCCCCTACTTTCCTAAATTTGTACTTTTGAATTCAATATTTGGGCATATGGTATTTTATATTGCTGCTACTGGCCCTTTAAGGGCCACCCGTGGACATATTATGACTTTTAGGAACAATGCCCTTTAAGACTGTGTAGCAGATTGCATTCAGGCTGTCTTTAATACAGGGAGTGCAGAATTATTAGGCAAGTTGTATTTTTGAGGATTAATTTTATTATTGAACAACAACCATGTTCTCAATGAACCCAAAAAACTCATTAATATCAAAGCTGAATATTTTTGGAAGTAGTTTTTAGTTTGTTTTTAGTTATAGCTATGTTAGGGGGATATCTGTGTGTGCAGGTGACTATTACTGTGCATAATTATTAGGCAACTTAACAAAAAACAAATATATACCCATTTCAATTATTTATTATTACCAGTGAAACCAATATAACATCTCAACATTCACAAATATACATTTCTGACATTCAAAAACAAAACAAAAACAAATCAGTGACCAATATAGCCACCTTTCTTTGCAAGGACACTCAAAAGCCTGCCATCCATGGATTCTGTCAGTGTTTTGATCTGTTCACCATCAACATTGCGTGCAGCAGCAACCACAGCCTCCCAGACACTGTTCAGAGAGGTGTACTGTTTTCCCTCCTTGTAAATCTCACATTTGATGATGGACCACAGGTTCTCAATGGGGTTCAGATCAGGTGAACAAGGAGGCCATGTCATTAGATTTTCTTCTTTTATACCCTTTCTTGCCAGCCACGCTGTGGAGTACTTGGACGCGTGTGATGGAGCATTGTCCTGCATGAAAATCATGTTTTCTTGAAGGATGCAGACTTCTTCCTGTACCACTGCTTGAAGAAGGTGTCTTCCAGGAACTGGCAGTAGGACTGGGAGTTGAGCTTGACTCCATCCTCAACCCGAAAAGGCCCCACAAGCTCATCTTTGATGATACCAGCCCAAACCAGTACTCCACCTCCACCTTGCTGGCGTCTGAGTCGGACTGGAGCTCTCTGCCCTTTACCAATCCAGCCACGGGCCCATCCATCTGGCCCATCAAGACTCACTCTCATTTCATCAGTCCATAAAACCTTAGAAAAATCAGTCTTGAGATATTTCTTGGCCCAGTCTTGACGTTTCAGCTTGTGTGTCTTGTTCAGTGGTGGTCGTCTTTCAGCCTTTCTTACCTTGGCCATGTCTCTGAGTATTGCACACCTTGTGCTTTTGGGCACTCCAGTGATGTTGCAGCTCTGAAATATGGCCAAACTGGTGGCAAGTGGCATCGTGGCAGCTGCACGCTTGACTTTTCTCAGTTCATGGGCAGTTATTTTGCGCCTTGGTTTTTCCACACGCTTCTTGCGACCCTGTTGACTATTTTGAATGAAACGCTTGATTGTTCGATGATCACGCTTCAGAAGCTTTGCAATTTTAAGAGTGCTGCATCCCTCTGCAAGATATCTCACTATTTTTGACTTTTCTGAGCCTGTCAAGTCCTTCTTTTGACCCATTTTGCCAAAGGAAAGGAAGTTGCCTAATAATTATGCACACCTGATATAGGGTGTTGATGTCATTAGACCACACCCCTTCTCATTACAGAGATGCACATCACCTAATATGCTTAATTGGTAGTAGGCTTTCGAGCCTATACAGCTTGGAGTAAGACAACATGCATAAAGAGGATGATGTGGTCAAAATACTAATTTGCCTAATAATTCTGCACTCCCTGTATTATGTGTTCGGAAAATGGTGTTATGTGTATCCAGCATACAACTGATTGTTCGGTAGAATCACTCCATTCATTATATTGAGTGAAACTACCGAACAACCAGACCACCCAGGAAAAAGTGTGCCTCCAATTACCGTTTGCAACAATGTTGCAAACAGGTAATTGGCAATCGATGTAATGTGTGGTTTTGCCCTCTGGGTGGCCGCCATTCAGGAAACGAACACGTGGCAGCGGCCATCTTAAATTCCCGAACAGCGGTGTTTTGCCGTCGAGTGTCTGGAACTAAAATCGGACACTCGACTAGGCAAACACTGCTGAGACCTCCAGACTTCCATTAATTCATGTGGAAACTACCGAATGACCCGCCGTTCGTTAGAAAGAGCCCCACAAACA